GAAGACCTCTTCTAGAGCTAGACTTTTTCTAAATTATTAGATTTATATTCTAACGTATTATTCTTAGATATTTATAGCTCTATAGGCTTTATAAACTTTTTCTCTAGACTAATATTCTTAATAACTTTCTATATAGTAGAAGCGTTTAGATAATTATAGCTTATATAGCTAGATTACTAATATTAGAAGTAGATAACTAGTTTTCTAATTACTAGAGCTTTATCTAAGGTTAGTAGAATATCTAGAAAAGCTATAAGCGTATAATATAGCGTTAATATAAGCATATTACGCTTTTTAATCTTTTTAGATACGTAACCTTCTTCTTAGATAAGCTTTCTAGTAAGGTTTTAAGTAAAATCTATATATTAATTATAATTATTAGTATACTAATATTAGTAGATATCTATCTATATATATAGGTTTACTAGAAGCTTTTTATAAAGCTTTTCTACCTATTAGTCTATTAGAAGCTAGCGCTTCTATACTAGGTAGAAGAAATTAATCTAAAAGTATATAAAGTTAGTAGTATTTTAGTAAACAATTAGACGGCAAGCCTGCATCAGGAAATAGAGGCTTCCTATTCGGGCAATCCGGGCCTCGCTCACGACTTTCGTGCTACGCCCGAACCGGCAATCGACCTCGACGTCCACCATAAAAAGGCCCTCCCTCCGCCGTCATTTTCCCTCCCTCCCTCCACCCTTTTCCCTCTACTCTCCTCCCTCCGTCCGCCAACCCCCTCGCCTGCGCCAACTTCTCTCATTGGGCCTCAGCGAATCCCTTGTGAGGCATTTTTCGAATCCACCGTCGCTGCCGCCCACCGCCGCCGACCACCGCCCTATATCCTCGTCCCTGTTATTTCACCCCTATTCGGACTGCGCCGTCCAGCTTTTCGTGCCCCGGGCGATTGGAGCTGCTGAAGCTGATTCTCAGCTCGCATTTGCACGCGGTTAGCGGCCCCTCCCCCCTCACTTTCCACTCTCACGCTCTCGCGCACTCGCCTCTCGCCTTTCTCCATTGCAAGCTCTCCCTCTTCTCTCGCAAGATGCTCGCTCGCATCGCGTCAGTGGCAGCTGCGGTTGAAGGGCGAAGCTCGCTACCCGTCGCATAGCCGTACCAGCATGTGCGGTCCTGTAAACCCCCCTTCCCCTGCTCCGGACTCGCCGATGGCATTCACTGCGCACCGTCTTATTCCCGTTTTCGGCGAACGAATGCGTAGCTCTCACGCCATTGTCTTAGCTCCGATACGCCTATATTGCGCCCCCCTACTTCGGTCGAATACGCTGGACCAATCCTTCACTTAGTTACCGTGTCCCCGCTCCTGGCTCCAGCTCTTAGCGGTGATGCGGCCATTCACCCGCATGACACATTAATTTGGGCCGTCCTGGCGTCCACGTCAGCGCCATGGTTCCAGCAGGATGCTCCGCCTCGCATGAGGCATACGGCGTTGCTGTAACATCGCAACGCAACCAGCAGGGGACTGATGCCTGGAATCCGGCAGCTGACAGCTCGGAGATGGCCTCGGGTGTGCCGCAAGAGGTGAACGAAGCCCCACAGGCCAATCACCCGACCGCACAAGGCACCGTCGGCGAGAATTGCGCATTCATGCGTTATCCGGCACGGACCCATCCTACGTAAGAGGGTGGTTGACGATCAAAGAAGAAGCTAGCGATCGGTGGTTTTGTTCAAAGTAATATGGATCCTTGGACAGCTGAAAGACGCGCACGACCAGTTTGTAACGACCGCTTGCGAGCCAATCGCCAGATGAGCAAGGCCGACTCTTGATACGATGAAGCCATCTATGCTGCTTAGGAGAGCGATACGCGGCCGTTTCGGAGACGCACCGGCGTGGGTTTGAGTCTAAGCTTGGTCTCGGATTTGCCGACGATCAGAGAATCGTATGTCAATCGGAGAGGCCGCTAGGTTTTGGTGTCATTCAGTCCCTGTCTAGCTGACGAGGCGCGCGTCATACGCAAAGGATACCTGCGAGGACCTGAGACTATCGGGCGGATTCTGGAGAGGGAGACGTTTCCGGTAGCACATCCTTGCCTCCAACGGAGGTGGCGTCACAATCCCCCTTTCTAGCTGACGGATACTGGTGGAAGCGGTGCCGGTGATGGTTTCTCGAGCGTGGAACCTTCGCCTACTTAAACCTCTCCATTTTCGCTCTTCTCGCACCACCAGGACTCGTTCTAGCTGGCAGTGACAGCAGCAGCCGCCATGGCATCGTCCTTTAATACTTTCCGCCTCCCTCCAACACATCTGCACTCTCAGTTCATACCCTATAATGCCCCCGCCAAGGCAAAGCCACCCTCTCGACGTTATCCCCCGAAGAATGCCTCGTCTAGCGCAGATGAATGGCATGACATGGACGAGATTCTGGCGATCGGGCTAGGATCGAACACGAAACCGAAGGATAGAGGGGTTCTGGCGCCCACGTCCCGTAGAGCTGAAGTTGTGGATTTGACATGCTTAGGTAGGCTTCGCTACAGCCGACAAAGCAATATTTTGTTCAAGCTGGCGTTGTATGATGACTAACACGGACGCAGACAGCGAAGTTAACTGTGAAATCGGCGGTGTTGGAGCTGGAGGAAGTGGTGTTAGCAGTGACGACGATCTCTCCACCCAAAACGAACGTGAAAGCGTGGGGTTGGAGCAAAGCGTCTCAATGCGAACTTCTCTAGAAGACACAAGGGATGAGAGCTCAAACCAGCCTGCTCGTTCTGAGGGTACCAGTCAAGGTAAGTGTCCCACGCGCAATCAGGATACGGGCTTACGCATTCTATTTCTGACATTGCGTAGAGAATGCGGTCGTCATCGAAGACAGTCAGCCCGAATCAGATACCGATACCGACGGAGAGAACTGCCCGCAGGAAGACGATATAGGTGCGCAGGTTGACGATTCGCTTGAAGTCTCGGGTATCTCAACCCCGGAGTGTCACGGTAGAAAGTGTCCTACAGGCATGGAGGCTCCTATCTACTCAGAGGCCGTTGAGGGACCGGAGCCTCGGGCTAGTGGGCTCCCGCGTCGCGAACTCATGCCAACGCAGCCAACTGTAGACCACTCACTATCCCGCTCGAGCTGCGATGGCAAGGAGAAGAAAGCCATGCGTTTCGCCGACCGATCGCTGATGACGGATATCGAACGGTCAACGCAAGAGGCCGGTGGCCACACTGTCCTGCAAGCTACAACACATCAGCCGCAGCGACCGATGCAGATGAAGGCGAAGAGGCAGGGTGAGTATACGCCATTGCAAGTGTGTTCGTTCTATCTAATAGTAACAAGGCAAATTTCCTACACTTGAAAACACGAGCAGCAGCAGCGGCGGAACCGATGGCGATGACTACGACAGCGACAATAACCCAACCCGCAAGCGGAAACGCTCACCGCCAGCCAAGCGGCACTGTCCAATGTCGAATACGACATCGAAGCAGCGGCCTAAGCACGCCGCACACTCAGCGAGGCAGCGAAAGCCATCCCCCTTCCGCGGCAGGCCGCTCTCCAGCCGTCCTTCGGCCCCAAAACCTCTTTCAGCAGCGCAATACAGCGGTTACGATATCAATATATTCTATAGTGATGATAGCAGCGACGACAGCAGCGAAGAAAACGCTGATCACGGCCTCCATCTTGGAAGCAACAAGCAACCCAAGTCAACCCCACGCCCCCATCGCTCGCACAGACAGAAGCAGAAGCGCAATCGCGGCCGTGCAGACGACGATGAATACGAAGTAGAGCGGATCCTCGAAGCCCGCGTCTATCACAGAAAGCTACAGTACCGTGCCAAATGGCTTGGCTATGAGGACGACCCGGAGTGGTACGACGCATCCAACTTCAAAAATAGCCCACACAAGCTCCGCGATTTTCACAGGGCCAACCCTACCCGCCCGGGGCCCCCAAAAAGGCTGGGAGGGTGGGTACAGTGTTGGGAGGAGGACAGAGATGCGGACGATCATCCCGATGATAACAAGCCTGAGAGATCACACAGGGGAGGCGGAACACCATAAGGATTTGCATACTGCCGTGTCGGACTCAGGGTTGTTCCATCTCCCGACGTCATGTATTGCGCGTCACAGCGACCTGAGGCTTAGTCACCTATTAAGATCAGTTATATCCCGCAGCATTTTCCAACCAGTATCTTAACGATGCTTCTTTCATCTCCGCTTGTGACCATTTGCTTTTAAGGTAGAAAGTAGAGAAAGTCGAAGAAACCGGTCAAATGATGATCATGTTCTGGTGCTCAAGACCATGATGAAGTGGGGCATCACCCTGCCGAAGTGGAGGTTCTCAGACACTCTCCCACTCTACGTCCATTCTATTAAAAAAGAGTGTCCTATGTACAGTACTATATCATCCTCTTCCGCTCGTCTCCATGCATCAGCTTTCCTACAAAGTGTTAGGCAACAGCGCCCTCGGCCTCCTTTGTATCCGCCAAACACCTTGCCGTGACCACCATCGGTCTGCAATTTCGCTGACGATGTAAATACCGACGAAGGGGAGCAGCCTTGCTACTGAAAATGTCCAATAGCTAAATCGAAGAACTTGGAACCACAAAAATGCAAAATGCAATCGTTGCGGTGAGTCTGAGGGCTGACATCTCGTTTAGAAGCTCGATTGCCGGGTCGCCAGTGGCACATTTAGCAACACCGCCGTGCCTGAACATCATCACCGGCCACGAAAAAGGAGAAGAGCATGCTGATCACAGTTGTGAAAGTGATTAGGAGGAGACGGCAGCCATGATATAGACATGTCAGCATACCGGATGCCACAGCACCCCTTCACCCCTAAGTTGGCTGTGGGGTGTGTTTCGGCAAGTCTGAGTGTCCTTTTCGCAGGACACGTCAATCCTCGCCCGACGTAAATGAGAATTGATTCAACACGGATAAAAGTAAGGGGTCGAGCCCGCATATACGCAGAACAGCCAAAATTAGAAGTAAAGGACTTCAACCAGAGACGACAGGGCTGAGGCTATGTAAGTCTTAATAGCGGGAACCCCCCTCCAAAAAAAAAAAAAAAATTTTAAATTTTCAAGGCTACGGCATATGCAATCTTGACTACCTTTTTAATCTACAAGAATGCTCGACTGACCTTGCCCGTTCGATTCTTCTCTGGTTTCCTCGGGAATCCTTAAGAGCTCGCCAAGTGTCCCTTGCTTTGACGCCCAGAAGTTATATAACTCAGTGTCATGTACTTCAAGGGCATATAAAGAGATATCGTCGAGCTCCTTCTTAGTAACAGCGTGGCTAGACATAATTATTTGGCGACTCTTTTTTATCATGTCTGGCCACTTGTATGCAGTGGCAATGCGGTACATGTGAGAGCATGTCTTGTGATCCGTCAGCGCGTGTCTCGTCCTTAGCAAGAAGCGAAACATTGCCTGGTATTCTTCCTTGTCGCAATGGAATTCGCCTTTCTCAGCTCGCCAAAATTTCCGCCCTATATAGTCTCGAAGGCCGTGGGGGATGGAGAGAAATGATTCGTGCTGCACGTAAAGACGTTCTGCTCCGACAACTACCGTCCATGGCGCTTTGACATTGCTGCAGATTCATTAGCGGCTTCTGCTTATTTGATATGGTGAGATCCTTGCCTGTCAAGAGCCGCAGGGAAAGCTTCGACCTCGAGCTCTTCCCTGACGTCCAGCCTGCTCATGGGGAGATCGGCTGGGGGGCCAACCAGGGAGGGCTTCACTGGACTTAGCTTCTTCCAGTGAGCAACAGTGCATCCCGTAGTCCAGTGGTCTTTGATGTGAGCTAGTCGCTCGTCCTCTCCCTTGTCTCGCTTTTGTTGCTTAGGAATGATATCGGCACAGATCCCGCACCAGAAGTTGTGACCGAATTTGCTGGTGAGATGGCCTTTTTGAATGTCGAATGAGAGATCAGAATGATTCCTAGCAAGATGTTCCTCAAATTGGGAGGCTTTGGGATACGCCCACGCCGGGGAGCCCCTCTTGGAACAAGGGAGGCATATCCAACTCTCGGATTGAAAATGTTGGCCCGACTCATGACACCGCCAACTTGATTTGGATTCGAAAACCTCCTCGCAAACAGTACATGGGTACTTTGGACGGGTGACGAGTGATGCGTTCTCCTCCTCTTCAGCCCCTTCGTTCTCCCTGGGCCCCGCCAGTAGCGGTTGCGTCGTCCCCGGAGGAACAGGAGGCGCCGCCTCGCCTGTCTTGGCGACCGGAACTATGACCATCGTGGTCGTGGGTGGTCGTGGGTTCAGTACTTGAGCGGCGCGTACGTGTAGGAGATTTAGGAAAAGACGGTAGAGTGGAAAAGGAATGGGGAATGACGAAGTGGTACCCAGAATACTCCTTTCGCTTTCCGGTACCTTCGGCTAGTCAGCCAGCCAGCCAGCCAAGTGGGCCGGCTGGCTGGCTATATAGGATTGCGCCAAACTCAACCAATTCCGATCCCGTGTGTTAAGGCGCGCTTCAGCTACCTAACTAGCTGACACACATTGGCAATGACAGTTTTAGACCCCCAAATACGATACCATCCCTCTCCCCTCAAGTCGAGATATTGGATTAATGCTTCTTTTGGAAACTCTGCACATTACGAAGAAAAAGGTCTCGTAAATTACGCCTCAGCAGCGAATGATGTTCGGTCCCGAAATAAAAATCAACTAATTATCTGTGCGCTCAATGCCAAGAAGTGATGCGTGTGTTCTTGTCACCGATCCGCCGACCGGCCAGCCGACCTGGCTGGCTGGCTGGTCGGCTCACCGACATTCCCCAACAACTCCCCCATTCAGTCCGTCGCCATGAACATAACCTGGACACCAAATGGATCAGAAACGCCTACAACTCTTCGAAACCTCAACCAGGTCGCAGCTCACTCTACAACTGAATTGAAGTCATGTCGTCAAGCTTTGGAAGATGCCCAGAAAGTGTTGGAGAGCGCCTTCGAGATCCATGCAATCCTCTTGCGATTAGAGGATGCAGCTCCTCGATTCAGGCATGACCGAGTAGAAGATAACATCAGATCTATTATGCGTATCTGGGACTCTTTCGAAGACTGGACTGGCGGGCAACTTTCTCGTCTCTGCTTACTTACAAAGCCGGACGTCGACCGCGTGGTTCGCGACACGAATTTTCGAGAAGTTTTACGGAGTCGATTAACTGCAATGGCGGCGCCCCAGGGATTTACTGCTAAAATAAAGAAGTTCAATACGGATACTTCCTTCCTGGTTCAAAGTATGCGGCATTGTCGTTAAGGAAACTCAGCTGACCAGGACATAGGATTACATGAGGCCAGGAATCAAAGCACTTCCGTTGCTCAGAAACGAGGAAACCCATTTGATGATGATGCGAACTCGAAGCGCAGCTGCACGACAAATACACTTGGAACCAGGATGGATGGTAAGTAATGACGGCGCATCATCAGAACTTGTACTCAACTCAGACAGAGTTCTATGTCCCTCCTCCGCTGAGCAGCGACGACAGAAAAGACGGTCGACTTCCACACAACGGGACTCGGGAAGCTCACAGTCAGGGCTTCTCGGAAGCGACACAGCAAGCTCAATCAATTCAGATTCCAGTTGGCGAAAATCTGTCGGCATTTACACGTAATGAGGCTGATCATTCGGACGAAGCAGGTATGGAAGGTAACGGAGTACCAACGCCAATTCGGATACTAATAGCTGGATTGCAGACATATCTGACGATTTCCTTGGTGTGAACGAATCGCACGGTGCCATCAATGCTGAGATCTATGATGACACATGGGATAAATCCATCCAGCTTCCCAACTTCATGACTACTCTCTACAAAGAATAGAGAGGCAGCAAAACGACGGTCGCACGTCCGTGTTCGCTTCCAAGCGTATGGAGGTACCGACTTCCACCTCGATATTGGAAACTTTCGGCTCCCCAGAAATGATCTGGATTGGTATAAGTATTATCGCTCCGGAGGGTACGGGCAGAGTCGCAGGCTTCAAGAATCGGAGGGCGCGTTCGGTTGGATGCTGGGTAAGTTAGTTTTCTTAGCGTTTCTAGTACGAAGTCGTTGGTACCGATAGTGGAAAGAGTTGTAGAAATCGAGACCCGTATTGTATCAGCCCGGCGTCGTCGTTGCATTGCTCAAAATCTCCTCGAGGTTCGAAAGATGTCTGGTCAAGCCACGTTGCAAGATTCTTTATTTCCTTCTTCGCCGTCTCTGGCAATGGCTGCAAGGATACATGGCTAATCGGTAGGCTCATCGCTCCGCTGACCTGAAGAGCACATTCTGTAACGAATCCACCCTTCACTGGTTAATCCTCGGAAGTTTAGATTTGGCGTGCACGTGCACAATCGCCTCGCGTCTCACGATCCCCTCCACTCATCCTCCATTCTAACCTCACCGCGTACTATCTTTGTGCTCCCCGCTCTGTTGCGGGCCAGTCACTCTTCCATAGCTATCTTTTCACTTTCCTCTAGACTATGAACCGCTAATTTTCGACCTTTACCAACCTCTCGAGCAGCAACTGCCGGGCATCGGGCCTCGGGAGTATGGCAGAGTTAAGGCCTTGAGGCATTTGCTCTTCCATTCTCATGTGCCGTGCGAGCACGCTTCAACTTTGGATTGTGTGGTGTCGGATCACTCATGTCCACCTTACAACCCAGCCACTGCCTGCACGGGGACAAGTCGTCCCCTTCTCTCACAGACCTTCTAGCAGAGGTCTTCTCACTATAGTCGCGTATGGAGGAAGGGCATGTTCTCTTTGGTCGACGGCATATAACAAAGCGTATGATAGCGCTCTAACATTCCCTTCGTCTATACAAACGCCGAGGCTAATATAGTACAGCGAGGATCATTCACGGTCAAGGCGTGGCATGAAGAACACTGTCTGTTTCCAAACTTATTCAAGAGGACGACGCTCCTCACGAGAACGACGCTCCTCACGAGAACGACGCTCCTCACGAGAACGACGCTCCTCACGAGAACGACGCTCCTCACGAGAACAACGCTCCTCACGAGAACAACGCTCCTCACGAGAACAACGCTCCGGCTCCTCACAACAACGACGCTGAGGCTCCTCACGACAACGACGCTGAGGCTCCTCACGACAACGAGGCTGAGGCTCCTCACGACAACGAGGCTGAGACTCCTCACGACAACGAGGCTGAGACTCCTGAGCCAAGGAGCTCCGGTCACACTGGAGCTGGCCAAGGCGATCGGAGCAGCACTAACGCTGCTTCACGCCCTGGTGATACTAAGGGTAAACATTTGTCTATCTTGAGCGAGCGTACTTGCTGACTTATTCAGAATATCCGATAGATTTGGACTTGCCAGAAGGTTTCCAATGTAAGTATCCGCAACCAATGTTGAAGATGTGAAGTGTTCTTACATAATATCGCAGTCAATCCGATTGTAATTGGTGATAGTTTTGAGGAGCTTCGCCCTCGCAAGCGAAAGGGTGGTCTCGATAAGAACGGTCGATGCCGACCCCGGCGCCGGATGTGTCATAGGAGGAGCAGCAGATGATGGCATGATACCAAGATTAAAGCCTGCGCTTCGGCAAGTGGGTTGAGTGTCACTGGCAGAACGCCGTCGTTGCAAGCACATACGAAGGTGGAAAGACTCTGCATATTTTGGCGCGTGGGTGATAGACCTGAGCGGCGATCATGTCCTTCGCATATGCGCTGGATTCGCGAATACATTATCTCACAGGCGAATCAACCCCCGAGGTCCCGTGGACAAGTAGCTACTGGCAAAGAAGAGATACGGAAGTTATATTGCTAAATTGGATACCACAATATTCTAGGAACGGTCATTGGACTGGAACAGTGGGACTTCTTACACGAGAGTTGCGAACTGCGAGTAGAGACTTAGCTTCTATTAAACGAAGAGCTTCTGCTTATGCATTTCATAGTCCGGGTCATCGTCTGCCGTTCGCTCTATAGCCCTCTCCTCCTGGTCAGCATACTTCGCTTCGTCATCAGAAGCCATCTTGTCTGGAGGTGTTTCTGATCTCTTGTGCTTCCTAACTCCAGGGAGAATAGTGTGCCTGACAAGTGCTCTTTGCCCTCGAATCTTGTCTTCTGCTGTAGCAAGACATTGGCAAAGCTTCTGAGTGGACAGGGTTATGTGTTGTCCTTCGCCACTTATTGTATCCTTTGTGAGTTCCTCACAAGCAAAGTCAGAGAGTTGAAGTCGTAGACCTGGATGATTCGTAGGATTTCCTTGCTCGTCACGGAAGGCGTAGGAAGAAATGTCAGGAACGAAAGACAAACGAAACTTAGGTTAGATTGGGAAATACCTCATCCGCGATTTCCTGATCCACTCTTAACTCGTTCCCCTCAGTAGTCCTGACCATACGGGTTCGCCACTCTGACAACGTTGCCTTCTGCGACCTCTTCTTCCCATATTCAATGTCCAGGCCAACAACAACTTGCACGCTCGCGTCCGAGTCTAAATGATAGTCTTCGGCTAGCCGGCCCAGACTCTTCCTTTTCTGCGAGTATGCGATTTCGATAATAACACCGGGGTATTGCGCATCATCGTGCCAGAAAGAAGCATCAGGCTCGTACTTCGACTGCATGCTGGATGGAGCGTTGTCCACTGGAAAATATATCTCTGTCGATCGGGCTGGCCGCACTTTCTGCACGAAGCGGGCCGCTGTGTCCGATCCGCTACGAATCGTTTTTAGCTGACATCGAATCGCGTCCTCAACCCCGTCGATGAAGAGCTCATGTACTCCGGTCGGCATGCGAACGACGGGCCGGTGGCTTTCTCCGTTGTAATCATACCTGTTCATCTCTGTCGTTAGCCGCCATCTCTATCCCGCTTGAGCACACGCACCGTATCTTATCCTTTACGTATCCCGACAGCGCCTCGTCTCGGCCAAGCTGACGCTCTATCTCATCGTACTCTCCTGGTACAAGCTGGAGCTCTCTCCACGAGTCTTGCTTGATGCGCCCCCCGGCTCGGATGGCTTCGAAAAGCTCGATAACTCGTTGGGCGTGCGCGAAGGGCTTCTCGTCCGTCGGCGGAGGCGTCAAAGGGTGGTCAGCGAAACTCGAAGGCGGCGTGGTATGTTGGAGTGATGCTAGACGAGTCTGCGACGTAGACATAGCCGTATGTTGCACCGCATCGCGAAGTTGTACGATGGCTGTCGCGCAGACTGATCTCGGTTTAGAAGCTGGGCGCTCTGGTTGACTCAGCAACAGCCTCGCAACCAATGACGTAGATGTGGCTCGTGATGCGCTGAATGCGAACAGCAACAACACCAAGTTACTGTAAGAACAGTCGCCGCTCCCGCGCCGCCTTGGCTATGCCTGGTCTAGCTTCCGTGTCTGGTTCCCGCTGTGGATGCGTTTTAGTCCTAGATCATGTTACTAAGACCCTTGCTCGGACCTGACCCGCTATGTGAACCGTTTGGAGCTCGCTTGCAAGTCACGTGCTGACTAGAGGCCTTCTCCTGATCCTCTTCATTTGTAAAGTTACCATCAAGAGCTCTCTATCTCCGCAAGATCATGGCCGGAGCGGGTCTGCCGTCCTCCCTGCTAGCGTAATCAAGGTGTTCGCCCACTTGCTTCGACGTGGATATCTCGGATTGTGCGGAGGTGCTTCAGTTCATGTACGATATGTGGCATGAGACAAGGTTGGCGACGTTATAAAGCACCGAAATACTCGTTCTATTTATTCTAATTCAAAGCATGAATGAAGTAACTGAGAGATAGATTTCCTGAAGACCTCTTACCCCTTTCGTGACCTCGTACTCCGCGTCTTCCGTGGGTCCGGAACATTCACATGCTCAAATATCCCTTCAGAGCATTTACCACAGGTGATGTCATCGAAACCGTGCCTTTGCATTTCCTTACCCACATCCTGGAGCAGATCCCACAGTTGCCTCGCTGTCACACCCCTCTTCGGTCCCTCCTTCGGCGGAGCCCTCAGCTGTTCCCACACCTCGTCCATGTCAAGCTCACAAATCAGCTCCATCGCTCGCTGCATGTTCTCGCGGCTGGAGTCGGACGTGTCTTGAACGGCGCAATGCAGGCTCCGGACCAGGTTCAGAAAACTGTCCAGCATATTGAGCACCCCTTTCTGGACGTCTTGCTCGAAGATTTGGGCGCTGGCAAAGAGACTGGTGTTGCTCGCCCACGTAGTGCCCGTCAGGCACCCACCCTCGATTGTGTAAATGGTGTGAAGCGTTCCAGGTGGTAGATAGATCGCATCATGGGGGAATTGAAGGAAGCAAAGTCCTCCCTTGGCCAACGGCTCAAATTTGCCAAACGTATTTTCATGGCCGTAGTATCTGTAGAACGCTTTCATGTTCTCAGAAGTGGGAGGGTGAATTACCCACAGCTTGGTACACCGTTTGCCGCAAATGCTCAGTACATGGAGGCCATTGTCTATACGGAAGTCAATACAAGATAGTGGAGCCGAGCGATAAGAAAAGAACGGGATCTCACCATTATGTGTGTCCACAAAGGTGTACTTCGGCGTGATGTTCGCCTTGTGAAGAAACTCAATGTTTCGTGTATACACAATCTGGCGTTGTGTGAGACTTGCAGGCGGGGATAGCGGAAAGGTCGTACTGCCGTCTTTTACGAGCACGTCGAGAGCCCAGAAAACATGTCCCGGATCATCCACCTTGAACCATGTGGAAATCTTGTAGTGCTGCTTCTCTTTCGGGACCGCATGGTTTGCAAAACCCCTTTGACGATACACATTGACTGCTCTGTCCCTGGTGGCTTCAAGGCAGAGTCTTTTTAGGCCCTTCGGGATGCCCCAGTTTTCGGCACGGATGAGTCTGGGTTTATCTAGTCCTGACCAAGAAGACGTTTCTGGGTCGCCATCCCACAGTAGAAGCCTGTTGGATTGCATTGCTGTGAGGAAAGGGGCGAAAACCATCTGGACAGGTTCATCCTCAGGCCTGAGGAGAAGTTGCAGCCCCTGCAGGTCGGCGGCTCGGAGCGCCTTGATGGTGTCCTCATCGAGGGAAGAACGTTTTCGCAGGATGGATGGATATTCGTACGAAGTGTGCGCAGTTGAAGGTGTATTTGAAGAAGGCCGAAAAGATGGACACAGAGAAAGTGCGGCCGCATTCTCATGGTGAATGGAACCTTCGTCGTCGTCAATGGGGGGCGCCTTCCTCTTGGTTCCCGTCTGAACAGTGTCGGGCGGGGTCTCCGTGTTGCTGTCATTCTCTTTAGCATTCCTCTCCCGCCTCTGCATCTGGCGGCGACTCTTCCTTCGAAGCTGGTGTGGAATCCTCTCTTTCAACCACTCCGGGCACTCCGCATACGCAGCTTGTGCCTCCGGAATTGAAAGTAGACCATCGCATAACTTGTCGAATGCTGTTCTGTATGCCTCCTCCGTGTCGACCTCTGGCTTGTAATACTTCTTATACTTCTGCCTGAACTTCCCCTCAGGGAGGCCAAATATGCACGCAAAGAATCCCTCCGTCCACCTCATACCATTCGAAATAAAGCGCTCGAATTCGCTCTCGACGAGGCTTCTGCTCCTGCATTCCGCAATTACGGTGGCCCATGCTTGGGTCATGGCGCTATGTGCGGGTGCGTCGTAATGAGTCGGCAGTCGTGGTCGAGGTGGCATGCTGGCACGACACTGGCACCAAACTGGCACGAAAGTGTGCCATTGATCCGTGCGTAGCGAAGAGACGCATTATGTGCGCTAATTGGTCACATCTCGGCTACCCTTGGTGACGCGCCCGCGACGAACGAGATGAAAACTTGCGAACAACAATTCTGAATTAAAGAAGTGCGGGGACGGGAATGAATCGAGAATAAAGTAAACCAGGTCCTGGGAATATAGCGGCCCTAGGAACACGCCGTACTAGGACGGCTATATTCCTAGGATGGGCATCTAGGTCACTTAGAGTTAGAAGGAATATTCTCATTGCGACTTGTGCTACTTACAGAATACATGATTGAATTCTTCCTACTTGACCCGCCACCTGCTCATCCAAGAAGTTGAAATGGAGTTGGACCCAGCTTAATGGACGCCGGTCCAGTCTGGGGAGCGTGATCAGAGCGTGATACTACTAGCAAGCTCAAGATGTATATTCCTCTCAGTATACAGAGCATAATAGCGACCCATATCGACCTCCCATTTCTGGAATTCTGGATGAAAATATCCTGAATTTTCCCAATCAATCACGCACTTCACTGTTAGCGTCTTCGGGTCCATCAACAGATTAGAGGGCCCCAAATCGCCATGGATGAATATGAGTACTGGGTCCGAAAACGTCACTGGCTCCCACTTCGATCGTGTATCGGTTTCCAGCATCCATGCCGGCGGTATCACAAACCCGTCCAGTCCTGTGGTGTCGGAAGTTAAATTTGCGAGCTCGGGGAGCAGAATAGTCTGGATGAAGTCTTTCGCATTGGCCTGCGCAATGGCCTTGCAGTTTTCGCATTCGCCAACGTAGTTATGCCCCACAGTACCTGACATGTGACATGCCTTGCCCACTTCACTTAGTTCGACACCGTCTTCTCGACTCATCTCCAGGAACATGGTGCCGTCATCGTTGTCGCCACATCGGATAAACTTAGGAACCGGGATTTTCGTTTTAGCGAGTAGGAGCAGCGCTCTAGCTTCGTTGAGGATGCGCTCGGTTTTCCAATGTCGTGTTCTGTAGAATGCATCCCCGCCCTTTACGGCGTAGTATTTCTCCTTAGGACGGGAGCTTTTCTTGAACGTTGTGGGGGAAAGTTCATAGACTGAGTGAATAGTCGACCACGTTTCTGTTGTCATGGATTCACGATGGTTTCGCGATGGCTTGGATGGCAGGAAAGAGGATGGAAGCAGTGGGCGTGTATGACAGCACAAAACATCAGAGGGTCGAGGGCTTTTAGCCACAATGTAAGCTTGGCAGCGATATGTTGTTGAGTAGCCGTTCTTTCAAAGTTGAGAGGTTGAGGTCGATGTAGATTTATCATTTCTCCCGATGGACACGATGCGCCGCAGAAACCCCGGCTTGGCACCGATCCTCGGATGAGAGCTCCGCCATGCCTCCATCCTGCCATCCTGAACTCCCTTTAATCCCTAAAGCATCCGCACTCCACACTCGAATTTTCCCTGAACTAGTGGACGCGTGATCTTCATGGAGAATTGCTGCTTATTCTGCATCTATCCTTTGCGTCGTCCCTCTAAGCGCGTCGTCATGACCAATGCGTTGTGGCCAGCGATAATCAGCACGCGCCGACACAACAACATTCTCAAACAACACACAATGCACTCTCGCTCCGCGTGCCCAGCGCCTCGCCTGGCTGCGACTCTAGCAGCATCCGGCACCTGCACTCCTCCCCCAGCGTATAACTCCGCCGTCATCCGCAAGTAGCTCGCTAACTAACGTTAGTTAGCCTCGCCCCGCCCGCCTCGTCCGTCCTGAAAACGCTCCCACAGTCCATTCCCACGGGCACCACAATCCAAGCAACGTCGAACGCTCCAGTCTACGCATACAAATATAAATCATCGCTTGTCACGCCGGAAGGACAGCAAGGAACAATGGCCCTAAACTGTGGAAGTTTGGCGCAGGGAAAACGACGTCTTGTCGGACCAGGGCATTCGTTACATCGGCCGAGCACTTCGAGTGAATGCCAACTAAGAAACGACAACAGGGACGTTTGCAGCGGCTGATTCGTCTTTGCCTCCAATAGCTGAGCCGTATTATCTCTTAACGCCCTACGACCCGATTTTCCGCAGCGAGAACGCTACGCTGTTGACCGAGCGTGGATATATATACACCGGGCTTTCGCCTATGATCCAAGGCGAACCTGCTTCCGGCCTCCCAGTTGATGGAGAGCTTTACGCTTCCGGCGTACCTCTTTGGCACTGGCTCCTGAACCCGATGAAGCGTCCTCAGATGGAAGGGTCTGGGTTGTGTAATTGTGGACTCGCTTCATGTGATCGAACAGGTTGTAACGCCTGGGGAATCCATTTCCCGACACAGCACGCTCGCAATCGTGGAAGATGCAAAGGTGGGGCTTCTCTCGTGCCTCAGAAGGCAAGTAGTGGAAGAAAACTGAGCGCCAGAGCAGGTAGTGTTCTTGCACTTGAACGGCCGGAGGTGGGAGTCCACGTACTTGCTATTACATAGTTGGGACCTTTGTGGCATACATCTATTTAGGTCAACTTACTCATAGTTGCATTTGAACTTTGTTGGTTTGTGGTTGCACTGGTGCTTGCACGCACGCTTCACAGTGCAGATCCATGGCGAAAGCAGAGCTAATGTCCTGGAGTGATACGTTTTATACTGTGAAGTGATTTGCACAGAATGTGGTATGAGTGGGGGCGATCCGGCAAACCTTCGGCTATTCTCCAGCCGCCTGTCGCTCCCAAGCATGGATACAGACTCCGCACCTTGCACTTCAAATCTCCTCACTTTTGGCTGCCCAAATCCCACTTAATCACGCTCATTTCCCATCCCACGCGCCGTATCTGTACCCAATTTTCACTCAATCGCAAGCCCTTTACCGTAACCGCAAGCTCCTCTTCTTTACACAAACTTTCATCGCTCCTGTGATGGCAGACCCTTATATTAATCCTGCGAATTACTACGAAGCCCAGCACGATGGAAGCGGAGACCTCGCAATCAACAACACATATATTCGACGTTCCTTAGCTCGTTTAGCATTTCGCATCACGGCCAAGTTCTTTCACCGGGATGGCCGTTGTGTTCCAATCTCTAAACACAAAATTCTTAAAACCGGGTATTCAGTCCATTTGACCGAAGCCGCTACAATGAAGTATGTCTCTGAACATACATCGATCCCCGTTCCTAAAGTTCATTGCTCCTTTCTCCACAAGAACCGAGCTTATGTTATCATGGAACGAATCCAAGGCGAAGATTTAGCGAGTGCCTGGAAGAACCTGTCTAAGGAATCCCTTCAAAAGATCTTCTCGCAGCTAAAGGACATGATCCAGGAGCTTCGAGCTTTGGAACCTCCGCCTGGTACGGGAGTGGAAAGTTGCGTTGGTGGCTCCTTGTACGACTCCCGTCTCCCGCATGGTACCCCACGCTTTGGGCCTTTCAAGACGACTCAAGAATTCCATCGCTGGCTGAGACATAATCTTGAAGCAACACAGATAGGCGACCACGTCACCTTTAAAGACGCCAACGACATCAGAAACATGATTGCCAAGCAGGAGGGTCGATGGCCGTCCCCAGTTTTCACACATTGCGATCTAAACCCGTTCAACATCTTAATTTCTGGGGACAAGGTAGTTGGGATTATTGATTGGGAGTCCTCAGGGTGGTATCCTCCCTATTGGGAATTTACAACTGCATGGTTTGGGAACATGACCAGAACTGAATGGCAGGGCATTCTACATACCCTACTTGACGCCTATCCTGAAGAGCTGGAAATGGAAAGAACTCGCAACAAGTGGTGGGGCGAGTGGTGAAATCTGAGTTCGGCTGAATGTAACTCTTCCTGCCTTAAGGGACGGTCTCCTTTCCTTCGAGCAAATCATAAGTTGGTTTAGGTTTCAACATGTCCTCTGCTTTTGTATACCTCCCTGCAGCAGTTTTCTGGGCAACGTATTGCCTTGAAACCGCCTCAATGGTCTCCCAATCTAGCTGAGAAGAACCCACGCACTCTCCGTCTTTGGCAATCCCTGCTAGAGCCTGCCCAACCCAGGTACGACATCTCCAGTCTGGGTCCCCGTTGACGACGGAAAGATTGCGAAGAAGCTCAATCAGACGCCGTTCATTCTGCACCTTTGCAATGACAATACGGGCGAGTAAAGTGTTCGTTGATCGGACATCGTTGACAATCTTCTCTTCGTACGTCCATCCGGTGATAGGGTGGTTCTTCACATGATAACGAACACCGGGGGTATCTACACCCTTTTCCGCTTTCGGTCCAATTAGGAACGCCCAGTGATATCTGGGCGCATTAGCTATTACCAGCTAATAAGGAGAAACTATCAAATACCTCCTTTCTTCATTGTTGACAACCCCACTAGGGTACAAAGCAACATACAGACGCTTCTTATTTGCAACCGTAACGCCTGGAAGTTGATGGAGATAGCTTGAATGGGACACGTGCTGTGATTGGGGGACAGTGATTTGCTGCGAGCTGCTGGCGGATGGCACCGTTTGTGAGGCCTGGGAACTGAGCAAGGTTAGACATTGAATTGACACTGTAATGAGTTTTTCTTACCGTTGTGAAGCCCAGAAACCAGCTGGAAACCCTTGCGCTCCTGTTGTAAGCTGGTAGTACACTCCACGTGAGTCGTTGACGATGATTCTGTAATGATAGGCCAAATTAGCGTCATCGATCTGATTGGGTGTATATGACGCCATAGCCCAAAAAGATTCAGTTATTGCAAAGATTCGGGTTGTATCTTCAGCTGTTCTTATACCTGTCAACAGTGTCAACAAGGATGCATATGCAGCCGAGCTCCCGTTGAAGGCTTTTCGCAAGGATCGGCTAGGCGAGAGCGTTCATGGACGGCTTGAGCAAAGGGGGATGCTCTGCAAACTAGTCTATAATTACCATCCAATTAAGGCTCGACTCTAGATCATCATTCATGCTGCTGTATGCGGGCGCCTGTGTTTCTGACGGTCGAGTCCTCGTCTGACTGGCGTTCGCGGAGGACCTTGTCGCATTGAGCCTCCCTGAGGGCGTCCCAAATCTGTAGCTCAGCCTGATTGATCCCAGGTCTGGCTCCAGTTATCCGCCCTAGCGCTGCCACACCTGAACCGGAGGTAGTGTCCTGCTGAACTTAAGACGCTATATGCAGGCGGTGAAAATAAGGCCCACATGTATGCAGCGACTCCAAATTTCATGGACTTGGGGCCAATGCACCGTTGAGATGCGCGTCATAGCGGACGCCTTACCCGTTCAATTTCCTGAGGTGGTCATTGTCTGCACGTGACGCTAGAAATGTTCGATGGTGGGGCACGGCTGCAGCCGGTGAGGAGTAGCCGCCTGAGATTCTTTCATATGATCTTCCCGTTGGGCAGAAAACAGGCTGCAGCTTTAAGCTGCTCCGTTCTCGCATGCTCGAAACAGTTTATTGGCTACTTGAGAAGGTGCGCCAAGCATTCTTGAGCAGGCGGGTCAAATGGCAATTGGATAGGGTGGTGACACCACCTTTGGCAACTCGCGCAGCACCCATACATGAGCTGAGTACTCGTGATCTGACAACAACAGGTGCGAAAGTAAATTCTTGCCTTACCTGTTGCGTCAGGCAGATTTCGACTGGACCAGGCGACGCTAATCGCAACGGGGTGCGTGACGAGGATGGTAGCCCAAGCGTCTCGCGCCTCATGGACGGCAAGCCAGTCCGAGGCACGCTAGCCCATATCGAAACAAAATCAATATGGACTAACTTAAACCTGATTCCCATCGGCGAAACGAGCCGAGCTTACCTGTCTTGCTGAGGAATCTGCACCCAGCCTTGCCACCTGAGCATTTCTCAGTCGCACCTCTATCCCTACGCACTTCCGCATCTCCGTGCTCCCGACTCGCACATCCCAGCCAGCAAATGTCAAGTCAAGGCCACTTAAAAGGCCCAGCGTGGTGCGCAAAGATCATTCTTCCGCTTTATATGAGCCAGATGTTGTGGTCTCGGCTGAGCCGAATCTGCCAGTGCCACAAGATTTCCACAGGCGTATGCCGCCTTCATTGAGGCCACCTAAAAGGCTGAGAGAAGAGGTTACAGATGGCGCTTCGGGGTCAATTGAGCCAACTCTTGCGGCCTCGGCCGAGCTAGTCGAACAGGATCCTCCGTCTCAGACATCGCGCGAGTGTGAGTTCAATGCCTTCCACTCTAGTGTTCACATTGCTTTGCTTCTAATGCGAATCTCTTGAGTAGGGTCACTTACCGGCGATGCGTTTAAGTTAACTATCGAAGACGTCAAGGAAATCGCCCAAACAGACCAAGTTGGTAGCGATATAGTTTTAACGTGGCCGCTTCGCTTGCAGACCGCACCATTCATTACGGTTCCAATCTCCAATAGTCTAGCACTACAATATGTCTGCAGACCCAACTACCTGCAGGAAATGTCATGAAATCACTCCTGTTTTGTAACATATCTGAACCTGAGTGTACCAGAGCAGAAATATACCCACTCAGGATTCCAATCGATCATAACCAACTTTGCGTCTTCCCCAACTCCACCAAGATATTCGAAACGCCGATTATTCCCCTTTTTATAGATTCTGAATGCTCCAGTACCTTTAGTGTTAATTAACACCGAGATCGTTTGGACAGGGGCTGTTTCGACGCCTGGAGTTAGAGGTCTCTCTTCCCATTCCAATAACTGGCAGCCGCTGAGTCCTGTCTGTACAGTGATTAGCATATGCGTTCTATATTAATACTCCACGTAACTAACTCTTTCTTTGTAAAACTCCAAAATTCTGTTCTTGTCTTTCTCTGGTACTTCAATTCTTTCGACTTTTGTCGCCATTAAGTCCGTTCGGACGAAGGACGGTCTTTAGATCGCGAGCGACAATCTGTGCGAGTGCGTTGCGTGTGGGTATTTCCTCAAGGAGTGGTGCTGAAAAGGATATTCATTAAATTCCGTGTACCTTGGTAGAAGCGTTGAGACGACGATGGCTGTAGATATCAGCTAAAGCTTTTTTTGCCGGAACGCTCGGGCCTCTCACGTGCTGGGCCAAATGCGGCTGTTGCTGCCCAAGCACGATCATCTGATCCTCCCCACTGTCATCATAAAAAGCGAGCTGCTGCCACGACGGCACGACCGCATCAAACACGCAACGATCGCAAACAACCACAGACACATAGCCGCAGAACGACCGCAATCTATCGCGACGACAGCTCGTTTTCAACTTCTCCACCATGAATACCATCACGTCGCAGCTAGTGAATAGTTGTCTTTACAACGGAACGACCAAGGTGGAAGACTGTCACGACCCCTCTTGTCCTAATTCAGATGACCGCAAGTCCTCCAAGAGCAAGGTAATACACCCTAGCTTTCGCAGGATACTCGTTAACTTTTGCCGGTAAAGTAGCGACTAGAATTCAAAAGTGGCGATCTGAAGGCGGACATTGGGTCTGACATGTAATCACGATGGAGGATATATCCAGAACAATGAATGATTCGGCTGCCCAGTTGTCGGGAGCTGCTTGTGCCACTCGACACTGAGTCTCATGCTGTCATTAGTGCTATCTACACTTGCCTCTGAATTCCATAACGGTCTTCGACCATTTCACCTAGCAAAGGTATTGTCGCAGGGAGTGGTTATGCGCGCTAGAACCCGAACTTGGATGAGTAGACTGTGCCACGTCGGCAAGTTTCGGACGCAGCTTCGCGAGCACGAGGAAGCGTAGCAAAGAAATCCTTGTCTAGGGTATCAGCTTCCGCAACCCTTAGCAAGGTAGGTGCGGCTGACAGCCGGGTACCACGCTAGGTGCGACTCAGAAAACCTCACCCAAATGGGTGCGACCGCATTTTCTTAGTAAGGTTCGGAGAGCAAGCGATCCTCGACAAATCAGCCAATCGCATCACTGCAATCCATTCCTCGCAAACAACCGATTCGAATCATATGGACCTCCTAGTTATCACTTTCCTTTAGAGTGTAGGGTGTACATGCATGCATGAGCTCGATCACTGTAAGTAGGTCTTCGGTATTCATAGTTCTCGTCCACAGATTAGTCTAGTCAGGCAGCTTACTCATTGTGTGTTTAATCCAAAGAGGCAGAACTGGGGCCCATTGAAGAAATCATTCCTGTGGCTTAGAGAGTTGGAGGCTGAATTCTTATGCAGAGGTTGCTTGCAAACTGGAGGCTTTGCACTGGCCGCATTTGGGTTCGAATGTGGCTTGCGGAAGAAACCATTTCTCTAATAACGCTGGACCTCAGATCCAATCATCCCCTCCCTAACGAGAGGAACGGGTGATCAACTGCGGGGAACGCGTTGACCATGCATCCAGCGGCGACTATCAAGGTCATGCATTGATTCAATGTAGGGTTCATGGGGCGTCACATTGGTTAGCTGCATTGTGCGCGTGGGTGATGTGCGTAGGAAGATATGTATAAAGGTTCGCGATCACCGTCCACTATCAAAGCGATTTCTACATCCTCTCTCGTTCGAATCGCTCTATCCATCCTAGAGAGCATCACCGCCTGTCACGCTTCTTTGTGATCACGTTAAGCTCGTCTTTGCTCATCTCCTCAAGGATATCTCGCCACCCTTGAGCAGCTCGAAGCTTTTACTTGTCTCAGTACGCTGTAAGAGAATCCGCCAAGAGTAAGAACAAGCAGTACTTGTTTCTAAGTATTGTGTTAACATTTGCATAGGACCATCTTCTCTATCCTTTGCATCCTTCCATCCACCCACCATGTCCAATGATCAATCGAACACCTCCGCCCCGCCCTCCGCCCCGCCAAACACTCCTCAACCCTCGCAGCCCCAACCCTCTGGGGAGCAGGGCAGTGTTCCCCAAATCAATGGAGAACCTAATCACGGTAATGACGGAACGGAGAACAGCTCCCAGGACGATATTTCGGGGGCTGCCTCAGCAGATATGAGCCACCATTGGGATCTTGCAACCGATGGTAGCGTCCTAGAGCCTCACGATACTCCCGTTGAAGAGCCCCACGATACTCCTACTGAACCGAGAGAACAGGGGCCTGATGGCTCGAATTAATGGGCTACAGTGGTTTCTCTAGCAAATATATCCGTAGTATCATTGGGCAGTCAGTTAGCGAATCATGTGGTTCCTGTCCTGGAGAATCATTTTCCCATTGCCGTCCGATCGCGTGACGCCACCCCGCATACTGATTGAACGCCAGATTTCGTGATGTATTTCCCCACATATATGCCGTAACCTCTTCGATGCCCCGCGCTGCCACGACTCCTCATCTATTTCCAACCAGCCCTCACAATGTCCCTTGCTACGTTTATTCAGACGACGCCGGCTATGCAGACGAAAGCCCGCAAACTTGCTCCGCTGCTACGTGAATCGGATGCCACACAAGTCCTCACAGAGGACAAACGGATAAAATGGTTTAAATACCCGCGGAGAGAGGCATGGGACAAAGAATTCGATGCTCTACTCGAAGAGACTAAAACAATTGTATGTATATAATAAACTAAAATATACTTTCGCTAAGGTCGAAGGCAAACGACATCGAGCTTGTCGTAAAGAAACACGCAGGAGTCATGCTTCGGAGGAGTCAACCCAATGAAAAGCGTCCTCTACCAAGCCTGGAGCGCCTTGATGCCGGCTGGGTGATGGTCCCACCAGAGCATATCGTCTTTCTCCAGTCCGTCGCTCCTGAAGACTGCGCGGAGGCCACAGTCCAAGTCCGGGCGAACATAATAATATTATATTAGAGATAAGTAGTACGCGGTAAATAGCGTAAACTTATATAGTAATTCTTAGAAATACGAGATATTATCTAAGTATATAATATAGAAAATTCTAGCTAATATATATAACTAGCTTTCTAGTTTTTTATCTAAATATATACGTTTTATTCTTAAGTTTTTATAATATACTTTATTATTAATATACTTAGTAACTAAACTTTCTAGATAAGTAAACTCTTTATAATTTCTTAGTAAGAAAAATTAATAAAAATTAATAAGATTTTCTTAGATAATATACTTTACTAGCAATTACTCTATACTACTAAATACTCTAAAAATACTAAGCTCTTACTAAATACTACTATCTTAATTATAAAGCCTTTTATAAATATCTAATTAACTTTAAATAAATTCTAAATATAACTTATACTTTAGACTATTTAGTAAAACTTAAAGCTAAGCTTATAATACGCTATAGCTCTCTATAATATATTATAGAAAAAAGTTTACTATTAATATAATAGAGTAACTTAAAGATATAAAAAGATATCTAATTTAATAAAGCTTACTATAAATAAAAAGTAAATAATAATTAACTATATACTTAATCTAGATATATAAGAATTTACTTTCTAGCTTACTACTATTTAAAATATAGCTAATAAGCTACTTACTAAATAGAGTAGAAATACTATTAGTTAAATCTAGCTAAATTACTTTATTATATACTATTCTAAGCTTAAAATATAGCTTAATTATAAGTATAACTATTAGAAAGTAAAGTAAGAAGATTCTATAATTATTTAGATATAGTTTAATCTAGTAGATAATATAAAGGTAAAGTATAGTATTACTAATAAAGATATATATAATTTTAATAAATCTAGCTTTATAATAAAAATAATATTACTTTAGATAGTAGTTACTAGCTCTAAGAGATAATTATAACTAAAGAGTCTTTAACTAGATAATTATAAGTAGATTTTAGTAATTATAATAGTAAGAGTAGTAGATAATATATAGATTCTACTATTTCTTATTATTATAAGTAAGAACTATCTTTTAGTATAGTATAAAGATAGCTAGCTACTACGTAACTAGATTATAGCTATCTCTAAAAGTAGCTAGATAATAAATAAAATTAGTATTATATAGTTAAAGTACTTTAACGCGTATACTAAAAGTTATATTATAAATATATATTATCTACTAATTTTAGATAGCTATAAAAGCTATAGCTCTATTAAATTCTAGTAGTACTATAAGAGAAATAAAATTATAGCTTTTTATATACTAGTATATTTATTATATCTTTTATAGCTACTTAATATTAGCTACTTTTTACTATTAAAGATAGTATATAGCTACTAAGTTAAAATTCTAATATATAGCTATATTAACTACGTTATAAAAACTAAGTTTCTACTTATATTTTATATAGCTTTTTACGCGTTAATTATAAATAATAATATTAGAGTAGAATTTAAAGTTACTAGCTTAGTTTAATTTAACCTAGATTTAGTAGTATTAAAGCTTAAAGTTTAATTACGTATGCTAATACTTTCTACTAATAATACTTCTACCTAGAAGTATAAAATACCTAGTAATTCTACTAAATTAAAGTTATAATTAACTCTAATTTAGAAAAAAATTATATAGTACCTTAATTTATTACTAACTTATATTATTAAGTTACTTAATTAGCTTAAGAAAGGTAATAAGCTAATAGCGTATTAGCTAGTACTTATAGAGTCTAAAGTCGCCTAGCTTTAAGTAGCTAACGTATAGAAAAAGAAGTATAATTTACGTAAAAGAAAGTAGATTTAGAAAGAGAATACTCTTATAATTAAAGCTAGCTTATAGCTAGTTACTTAAAGAGAGACTATAGATTAGAATAAGAGTAAGAAGTAGTATAAAAAGATAGTAGTACGTAATAGCTAGCTAGCTTAGCAATGCTATAGACGCTATAGTAAGCTAGAGTATAACACATAAATATACTAGATAGTTAAAGATAATATAGATAAGTTAGATAGCTTATCTAGATTTATCTTAAGTAGCTTAGAGTTAGAGTAATCTAAATAAGATAGTAGTATTTAGTAGAGGCTTAATATTTTTAAAGCATTCACTAGTAAAGTACATTAATCTAAACTATATAGAATATAGTAAGTAGAATAATAGTCTAGAGTAGAGTACTTTTACGCTAGATGCTAATACCTAAGACTTATTAAATAATAGATAACGTATAGAGAATACTAGCTATAGTAGAGTAGCTATACCTAGTACTATTATTAGCTAGAGTTTAGTAAACTATAAAGAATATATTTAGACTAATAGCTTTTTTATAGTATACCTACTAGAGAAAATATATAGAGAAGTCTAGATAGAATAAAGTAAATAAGAAAATTCTTTTCTTTAAGCTATAGCGTAAGCTACTAAGTAATTCTAGACGTCTATATATAGAAATAAGTTAACTACTTAGTCTAAGTAATCTATAATCTTAGAGTCTTATATAAGAACCTTAAGTTTTATAATATACTATAGAGCGAGAAGACTAGTTAAGTAACAGTAATTAACTTTAAGTAGGTAGAGGTTATCTACTAGCTAAAGCACCTTATACTAAATAAATATACTAAACGCTATAGAAATAAACTCTTCTTTTTAAATAAAGGCGTTACCTCTTCGCTTGCAAAGATTTAGATAGTAATAGCCTCTAAGCTAGATATTAGAGAACCTTATTAATATCTAGACGCTACGTATAGTTCTTTATTACCTACTTATATCTTACTATTTTAATAAAGAGACTACTAACTATAAGAGAGTTTTAGATTAGTCTATTTACTAATAGACGTTATTAAAGCTTTATAAAAGGTAATACTTATAATATATATAGTCTCTATCTAGTAATATACGTATATTCTTATAATCTTAGTCTATTATATTAATAGCCTTCTAATAGCACGTCTAGAAGTATAGACGTAACGCTTTATAAAGCTTATTATTATGCTATAAGTTAAGACTTAACTTCTATAAGTAGTAGTTATATATTAGCTTAAATAAGATAATATCTATAGCCTAGATATTAATAGAGTAATTATAATTCTCTAGCTTAAGCTTAGAAGTAAGATAGCTAATTATACTATATATACCTAGCTTAGATAGTAATAACTTACTAAGTCTAATATATCTAGATATACTAATATCTAGTAAGATAGAATAGTACTACTTAATAAAGCTAATATTAGATAGCTTTAAGTTATAGTATAGCTAACCTTTACTATATATAACTTTAAGACTAAGTAGTATCTTCTAGAATATAGTTACTATCTATATTATTATACTTTTAAATTCTCTATCTAGACTATATATTAGCTACGCTCTATTAGAGTATAGTTTTAAGAATAAGAAAGACTTACCTTATACTCTAAGTCTCTATTAAGTTAAGAAATATCTAGAGTATTATTAGCGTTAGAACTATAGTAACGTTATTAAAAGCTACCTTAGAGAAGAACTTCTTACTATTAGTATAGATAACTTTATCTATACGTAGAACTTACTCGCTCTCTAGTAACTTTGTTAATAAACTAGTTAACTCTTAAAGTATCTAAACTTCTTAATCTACGTAGTAACAATTTTAAGAAGTTTACTCTAGTATCTTAATTATAGCTATATTACCTAATAAATTTAAAGTAAAGAATACTCTTTTATAGATTTCTATACCTAGAATACCTTCTAGCGTCTATTTATCTACTATTCTCTAGCTAGAAAGAAAGGTTAGTATTTCTATATTAATGTTACTAGCTAACTACTTACTAAGATTTTTATCTATATACTACGTATATGTCTTTAAGAAAAGATCTATAGTAGTAAATTTTATCTACTAAAAGTTATACTTAAATTTATTAAACTAAATCTTTATTTTATACTAGTTTAAATAGTATAGACTCTATATAACTTTATTACTATTAACTATTAGCTATACTATTAGAGACTAGAAGTTACCTATAATAAAAAGACTCTTATTTTTAAAAGAGAAGTTAAAGCGTATATAAGAATTCTAAAGATTATTATTATATAACTTTATAAAAGCTCTAGTATAGAGAAGTAGGTTAATAGATATCTTTTCTAAAAGGCCTTTTTCTACTATCTATTCTCTATTTAGCTTAGCTAGCTAAGACTCTAGGCTTAGTAAATAATAGCTAACCTAGATTATACTAAAATCTTAAAATAGTCTTTTAGTATTAGTATCTAGCTTTATAAGAGTCTTACTTACTTTACTATTAGTATTATTCTTAGTACGTTCTCTCTTACGTTAAAGATAAACTATCTTATTATTAT